TTATAACTGATATTCTATGATAAAAACCCGTAGATAATTTACCATTTTTGTATAATAAAAATTTGAAATATGATAATAATTTTCTCATTCTTTTAATAATTATCATCTTTAATAATAATATTAGGGCATATAGGTATTTAATGGTTTTTATAGTTTAGAAGATCGTAGAAAATTTTAAATTAAAAAACAAAAAATATAATTTTAAAAAGATAATTGAATTTCACAGAATTTAGTAAATTTTAGATGTTTTAATTATAATAAATACAGAAAATTAAGAGTTTTAGGAAGAATCTATATTTAATAAAATAATGAGGGTAAGAAACTACAATTTTAGTTAAATACCTATGAATATTTCCTATTTTAAAGAGGAAATTAACTATTTTTTTTTAAAGCTTATATATTGGTGTAAATCAATATCTAAAGACTCATAAGGGATTTGATTAGTGATTAATCAATATAAAGCATGACATAAACCAAATAAACCTATAAAAATTAAAACTGGTAAATAAAATAAAGTAAGTTTACTTAAAAAAGCTTGATAATTAACATAAAGAGAAATAAATTTATTGTTAAATTTCTTAATTATTCTATCTTTATTTAATAAAAATATTACATTAAAAATAAATACTATAAATAAGAAGACTATACTAATAGCCAAAATAAGAAGAATAACTTCAATAAACATTCGTTGACCGATAAGATCATCGAAGAATCCTTCAACATATACAGGATTTAATAATTGCATAGTTTCTTTAAAAATTAAATCAATAAACTTAGTAATTAAAGAAGAAATATCTAAATCTAAAGAAGGTAAAAAATTATTAGCGCTTTTTTCAACCACATCTTTTACAGCTGTGTCTACAGCACTTTGATTGGCAGATTTCAATGCTTCAGAAACAAAACTATCCATAGTAGTCTTAGATACATTATTAACCGTATCTATACTAGGTCAAGAACCTGTTCTCTTATACTCTGAGTAACTTCACATTAGTCTATTAAAACCTACTGAATTTTCTATAGCAGAATGATAAGTAATAGTACTTGCACTAACACCACTAGCACCTAAAGCACCTAATACTCTTAATCTAGGAGAGATACCAGGCATTTTACTTAAAGCCATGAATGTGGCTAATCCTGTACCTACTATACTGATGCTTTGGGGAACCCCACTAGGTCATCATCTTACAGGATCTACCTTATTTGGTAAATCAGTAGACTCCCCATTAGGTATCACATAAGATACTAAATCAACACCGAAAATCTGAGATAAATATGAAAAAATCCCTGTAACGAATGAAAAAATATTAATAAAAATATAAAATAAAATAATAAATTTGAAAATATTAAATAAATATATAGATAATTTATTTAATATTTTAATTCCAGAATTAGGAATTTTAATTTTAAAATTGTTCATGATATTTGTAGTAGTTGTAAGTAAAAAAATAAAACACAAGAAGTAAACCAAAGTGTCCAATATCAAATGTTAACTCAAATATTCAGTTAATTAAATTAAATTTATATAAACCTAATAAATTATTATACAAGGATGTAAAAACTCTTAGGTCTTTTGTCCCTATGTTTTCCAGTCAATAAAAAAAAGAATTATTAAACATTATTTTTTAGTTAATTAAAATAGTTAAATTTTAATTATAATTCCTAAGAATATTCTAGTTCATTACCCCTCGATAGCAAACTCCCTTCAGCACTTCATTTAAAAAAACATCCTATTATCATATAAATGATATGGTAAATTCTTATTTCACTAAAATCTATAAAGATATAAAATAAATACCTAATAGTAAAAATATTAAATACTAGTGATAATAAGAAAACACTCAAGTGGACTCCAACCTTAACCTAAAATTAACTTGCTTAAAGGAATAAAATAAGAGAGGTACTAGCACCCTTACGTTTATTTGAGACTATGAATCTCACCTTCTAAGTTAAAGAAAATCCAAATTAAGACTAGTTTAACCGATTTGACCTCACTTCTCATCTAAATAGAAGCGAGAGAGATATATTATATCTCTACAAAAGTTTTTTCATTAATGGTATACCATTTATGAAAAAACCATGGATAAGAGTTGGGATTAGTAGGCTACTGAAAATATTAAAAATATAAGCCTAAGTAAATAATTAAACAAATAAAGGATTTTATAATGAATTAAGGATTTGGTAGAAGCGCTAGATGAGGGTAAAAATATCTTATTAAAATATTAAATAAAAAATTATTAATATGATAGTACTAATATTTACCAGTTGTTTTATAAATAAATAATAAAGAAAAGAACAATAATAAAAATAAACAAATTAGACAAATTATAATTTCAATACTAAAATAAATTAAACTGAATTTCTTATATCTGTTGATTAATTTACTTAATAGAGGATATTTACTTTCATAATTACTTTTTTGAATTAATAAGTAAGCTATTATATAACCTAGAATATTTAAAAAACTTAATAGACATATAAGACTTATTATAAATATCCCCCAAGAATATTGTGTTAATACATTATTAGTATCGTTTACATTTATATCTAAATAACTTAAAATTAATGGTAAAGAATAAGAATATCTAAAATTACTATTTTTCATTATTTTTGTCATTATTAAGATCTTCTTTTTATGTAATTCTTTGATAAATTGAATGTAAGTTATAACTGAAGCACCACCGGTAAAACCCGCTGCAAATGATTTCCAATTTACAATTTTGTTAAACATTTCTTCTAAGAAAATTGTGAAAATAAGCTTTATATTTATTTAAATAATAAATAACTTATTAAATAAATAAACAATGTATTTTAAATACGCAAGAAAGAATATTTAAAAGACTATTTTTAAGAATAATAATTAAGAAAAAAATGTTAAAATTATATGATTAGTTTAAAGTTGGTATTTAGCCTGTACTCCGTTCTTAAAAAGAAAAAGATACTTGAAAACGATATCTGTCCCTGTCTGTACTCCGTTCTTAAAAATAAATTTTATATTACTTCTATATGATATAATAGATACTTAAATCTAAGTATATAAAGAATTAGTATAGCGATGCGAGATTATGCTACTATATTTAGTCTACATCTTCACTATTAAAATATCAATTTATTTAGTTTTAATGAGTAGAGTAAAAATTTAACTTTAGTTAAAGAAAACACTGTAACAATAAAAAATTTTAAAAATAAAAATTATCCTAAAAGCTTATTTACTTATTTTATATTTCTTTTAATAAAAATTAATTTATCTAAAAGATTAAAAATTTTACTTTTTATTTCCTTATTATCTTCTTGACACATAGATTCATTACGTTGTATACTCTTTATTCATTCTTCAGCTTCATTCTTATTAATAACACCCTTTTCTTCAAATGAATTAACAATTGCATTTTCTTCTTTATAAAGATCTAATTCTTTACCGTTAAAATGTAAACAGGCATCCTGATATTTCTTTTTGTGTATCTGTATCAGGTAAAATTATATAAGCTAATTAGGGAAAATAAAAAAATATAGGTTCTAAACCTTTAGCTTTTCTAAGTTCATCAATACCAGCCATTCCTCCGAAAATTACTCCCTTCCTTTGGAACACTGTTTCACAAAACCCCTTACTACATCAAATTATTTTTGCAGCTAAAGAAGCTAATCTATCTAAAGGCTAATTTCTTACATCTAACTCCTCACTCTTAAAAACTTTAATCATATATTTAATTCTATGATAAGTGATAAAAATTTGATAAATACTAAACATAATAAATAAAATTACACAAATTACTAAAGAAATAAAGTATAACTTTTCATCCCCTAAAAAAATTAGTCTATTAGTAATTAAGAGTATAACACTTATACCTCCTAAAACTCTAAAAACTCTAACAATTGGATTTTGAATAAACTGTAATATATTTTTTGGTAAAGTAGGTGTATTATAACCTTTCTTTATTCCTGTAAGTACACTAGAAAAAAATTCATTTGTTGTATAAAACAAGCACTTTTGCTAATTAAATACTATAGTAGTTAACAATTCTTTTTTCCTTGCTTCTTTGAAGAAGTTTTAGGAAATGAATATTTTAAGCCATATATAACATAAATTAAATTCTTATATATGGATGCGCAGCTGCGCAGCTGCGCAGCCCTAGTTACTTTAAAATAAGTATACCACCCTGTAAGGCTCCAGGCTCTTCCTAAGGAAGAATAGATTTCACATTAAACAGTTGGCCGCAGGAGGAGTAGATTACCTCTAATAAAGGTAATCAGATAGATAACTTATTTCAATCTCAACAGGAATATTGTTTTATAATTTCTAAATATTTAGAAAAGAAATTATTTTTAAAATTTTTCAAATTTCTTCTCTTCTTTTTTTTAAGATAATTTTTATTTATTAAACTTATCAAAATAATATTACTTTCATATTTATTTGTGTTAAACGATAATAAAAATTTTTATGTAAGCGCTAAGCAGCGAACGCAGTAAACACACTAAACGCTACAAGCTTCATGAGGGTATTAAATTTAAAAATCTACCAATGAAAAACAATGTTTGATAGATTTTAAATTATGAGTATAATAATAAGAAGGCCACCATTAATGCAAATAATCCTGTAGCTTCCGCTAAAGCGAAACCTAAAATTGCATAAGTGAATAATTGACCTCTAATTTGAGGGTTTCTAGCTGTAGATGATATTAATGAAGAAAAGATCACACCGATCCCAACTCCAGCTCCTATTAGACCTGAACATGCTAAACCTGCTCCTATGTATTTTGCAGCAACTAACATTTTTCAAATATATTGTTTTTTCCTGAATTCTACTTCTTAAAATTGAATGAATTGAAGGATATTTATATATTATTAAATTAATTAAAATATATCGTAGCATACTACGCCTTCTCTAATTATTAGAATATAGTATTAAGAATAAAATAATGTGAATAATTAGGAAAATTGAAAAAAGATAACTTAATTTATATTGTTTTAATAGTTTATATTAAAGATTATTTTGATTTTATTATAGCCGAAAGAAGGAATTGAACCTACTTTTTACCGTCATGAATGGTATGTTTTAACCAATTAAACTATTTCAGCACAGTACAAAAAAGAAAGAATTTTATTTTACCTTAAAAAGCACTCTGCTTCTTCGAAAAAGCTTGATATAAAGCTACACTCTCCTGAAAACGCAGATTACTCCAGCATTCGCTATATTACATATTTTACATGCATAGCTGCTTACACAAGGGTGTAAGAATTACGCACACCTTCATTTCCAATTATCTTTACTCTTTCTCGCATCCTTCGGAGCTTCGGAGTGGCCGAACGAAAAAAAAAGCCACTAGAAAGGATTCCTTAAAATCTCCCTTTTTGCACCATAGCAGAGAGTATAGAAAGGAAAAGTGCCGCCCTCTAATTGAAGTAATAGGGCCAATAGAGGGGGATTTTTAAGCAAAAAATTGAGAATGCGAAATAAAAAGAATCAAGTACAATTTAAGCTGCTTATCTGCTAATTAGTTAAGTAGAGTTAGATTTTATCTATAGGACAAGTTTTGTAAATACTATTAACAATATAATTATATAACAGTTTACTGATATTCTAAACATAAACAGGTTAGGATATAGGATTTTTTTTTTAATAACTTTATTTAATTATTTTTTAGCTACGCCACTGCGCAGCAACAAACTAAAGTGTTAGATAAAATATTATATGATTTGATTTTTTTTTAAAGTTAAAACTTTCTAATTTAATTATCCCTAAAATTGTTTTTCTTCTTCATGCTCCGCAAGCAGTAGGAGGAAATATATCCTTAAAAATTAACCTTGAACCTTCCCTAAATTTTATTTAACATTATTTATTAAATCAAAAATTTCAGTTTTAGATATCTTAACTCTCTTTTAAAACTTTCTAATTAGAATAATAAAATTATATTTTGCATCTATTCTCTACTTTAAAAGGGAGAACTAGGAGCAGCTTCTTTTTTGCATGGAGGACCTACTTGCAACACACTTTACACCTAATTACTTAGATAATAAGTCTAAAAAAAAAGTGCTTGCTTTGTGGCTCCGCTAGCTGGAGAATAAAGCTCTATTGACTATTTGATAGGAACTAATCTCTTGTTTAAATGCATCCATCCCTTTTTGGGAAGGAATGGAGTATAATGATAATACTGTAAGTGTGATGTGATGATAGTAGAATAAGGTAAACTTTGCAGTCTAGGTCTAATGTAAATTTACATTTTACTATATTAGTATATTTTTCAAAGATATAAAAAATTTTTTAAACTTAAACTAAAGTTAAATAAATAAAATTAGTTTCTTCTGTGTACGCTTTATAATAAATTAGTTAATATTTTTATTAAATGATTTTAGTACGAATAAAGAGACTTGAACCCTTACAATAAAAAATTATGAGTGCCTAAAACCCACCCGTCTACCAATTCCGGCATATTCGTTTAATATTTTTTTTTTAATGTAGTATAAAACACCCTCTTCTGCGAAGCGAAGGAACTAACTCATTTAGCAATGAAGGAAATATTCTTTACTAAAACCAGTGTGTTGCGATGCAAGAAGCACTCCCCTTCAAATACATTTTACCACTAAATCTACGATGGATATCTACAGCTTTTTAAGCAAGCTAAGAAAGCTATATTAGCTCCTCCCCTATAGGAGGGCGGGAGGCTAACAATAAGAGTGATATTTTAAAATATAGTTCTTGCTCCTCCATGCTAAGCATGGAAGAAGCGCAGGCAGGCAGTTAAACTATTCCTGCGTTATTGCTTAGCCCTAACTACAGCTATACCTCCTTCGCTTCGCAGAAGAAGGGTGCTTGAATAAACAATAGTATCCTCCGTATATATTACTGTGCATAAATAAGCTAAGTAAAGAAAAGAGGGAAGGGAAGGATAGAGCGATAACTAATGATAAAATAAAAAAGATAAAAGCTTAAATATTTAAGATGTAAGTTGGAATACTGCTTAATATGATCTTTCTAAAAAGGAACCAGCCATTAAATTTTGCTGCTTTTGCTACTATGATAATTAGTGGATATAGAATGTACCGTATAAAGCTGCCTGTAGCCTCATTTTTTAAAGTTATGTTACTAGTATGGCTAGCGTTTGCACAGTTATTTATTTTAGCTAAAATAAAAAAAAATTATATTATCGATAAAAGCTTTAAATAAGAACACACGTATAATGTTAACTACAATTTACAGAGTTGATCCGTAAGAGACTTAGCGCCTAGCAATAACAAAGGGGTTCTTACTATTAAGTTATATTAAACACAGGAATATGCTAACACAGCATAATAAATAATAGTATTATTTTAAAATTATAAACATTAACTTAAAACTACAGTTTATTAATTGTATAATAAGGAGTAGAGTAATCGAAACTCTGTCTTCAACGTGTAAAGTTGACGCTAAAACCACTCAGCTAACCCCTTCTTGTTAAGCTTATTAATGCTTATATAATTCTACACTTGCTTATGTATAATTTATAACGCAATAAGCAAAAAAAAAAAAAAGCCATTTACGTTTTGCTCCTTCTGCGAAGCTAAGGAGAAATGCAAATGCGTGAAACTAATTAGTTAATCTGAAGCTTTGATCTGTTATCTTTAATAACTTAAAAAAACTGCGAATGCAGGTGCAGCGTATTCACTTTATTTATGAGGGTTAAAATAAATTTATTTTCCAGCAGCACCTTCCAGTACAGCTACCTTGCTATGACTTTTGAGATGTTACTCAAATGGGTTAAAAATAGCTAATTATTTAAACAAAGATGTTTTTTTTTCAAAAAGATTTATTAAATCAATAAAGTTTTTAATTTTATATTAAAACTAAATATCTTTGAATAGTTATAATTAGGCTACAATTTCCCCCTATCCGAATTCCTTCCCAGTGACAGACGGTTAGTTCATCACGGATGCACTCTTCACCGTTGCGGCTAGTGATCAACGATTACTCGAAATTCCTTCTTCATGTCGCCGAATTTCAGGCAACAATCCGTCAAAAAAATTTTAATAATATTAACTTTCTTTAATGATTAGCTATTCCTTATGATCCTTAAATTTTTCTAATTTTATTTAGAAAAACATAACATATTTATTGTGAAAATAATTCAATAAATATAAGGTCTGGTTTTTGCATCACTTTGTAAAAGTCCTTGTGGCACATCTATAGCCCAGTTCATTAGGGCCATAACGACTTGTCTTAGCCCCAAATGAAAGTATATAAAATTCATTAATTGTAAAGTATAAATTTACAACAGGGATTTTGTCCGTTAGTGGATTTAACCTAACTTCTCAAAACACGGACTGACGACAGCCATGCAACACCTGTAAACGAGTTATTAAGTTAATAATAACTACTCATATATTACTATAAAAGAATTATATCACATTCTTCTATTACTTAATTTTATTTAAGAAAATAAAAAAATGCCAATACAATTTTCTAAGTAAATACGGCTATACAAGAACTGGTAAGATTTTACGCGGATTATCGTATTAAATAACATGCTTCACTTCGTTTGCTCCGAGACCGACTAATTTTTTTGGTTCCAGTTTTGCAACCGTACTCTCAAGGCGGAATGGTTATCGCGTTAACATCGGTACTAGTTTTAAAAAAAAACTAACAATCTACCATTCATCGTTGACTGTGGGAGGTACCAGGGTCTCTAATCCTATTTCCTTTTCCCACCTTCGTATCTCAGCGTCGATCAATATTAGATAAAAAGCTTTCACCTTTAGTATTCCATTTAGTATTTGCATATTTAATCCCTACACTAAATATTATTCGGCTTATCCTCAATTTGATTCTATCTTAAATTAATTTTATTTTTAAAATCAAACAATATTTTTATTTGAAATAGCTATTATAAAAATAAAACTTTTAAGCTGCCTACATACCCTTTACGCCTGGTCAATGTGACTAACGTTCGCGTTTCTGGCCTTACCGAGTCTTCTGGCACCAGATTTGGACAACACTTAGAGTAAGGTAGCATCATTTTTTTCCCTTACTATGGACATTTATCACTTCTCCCGAAGATCAAAATGTGATTTCAGTTAGCTAGTTCACTCTTTCGAGCATTGACTAATATTCTTGACTGCTGGTAGTTTAACACTACTAGGGACATTTCATTCCCAATGTGGCCATCTGATCTCTCAAACATGGCTTCTGATCGTTGGCTTGGTAGGCTTTTACCCTACCAACTACCCTTAAACAGAATAGATCGAATCTTATAGCAGAAAATTTCCTTTATTTAATAAATAGCTTATTTATCTTTACTTAAATTTAAATTAAAAATTTAAACTAATAAGTAAATTATCTCCTATTTAAGAAGACTACAAGGTATCTAATCTATATTACTCACCTTTACACCTTATTTTTTATAAGTTTATATTATTTTAAATAATAATTAACTTATTATAAACAATGATTCGCATGTCTTAAAACTACTGAAAAACGTTCAATCAGAACCAAAATTAAATTCTTCTAAATAATTAAACAATTATATATTTTCCTAATTGTTATATTTTATATGCTTAATGCAATATTTATTATCTCTTTTAATAATAAAATTTTTTTAATTAATCTTTATTTTATATTACTTAATATTTTATAAACTATATTAGAGATAGATTAAGCTTAGTAAATAATATTATTGATTATAAGTATAATTACTGAAAATATACCAAGATAATACCCCTTTTACCTTAATATATGTCTAATAATATTTACAAAGGTAATTTTTACTCACATAAGAACTAACAAATTTATTTTAAATTCGTTAAGACTCCTTCCCTCCCTCCCTATGGGAGGGAGGGCCGGATGGGCCCTATGGGAGGGCGGGAGCGGAACGAACGGAGAAAATATCCTTTTACTATTGATTTTTTTTATCTCTCACTCTAGCCTTCGCAGCCTTATTCAAGCCTAAGCTAATAATAAAATCGTAAACACAAGGCGGAAGGAACAAAGAGACCAAAGACCAAAGAAAAAAGCATACCATCCTTCCAATAGGGCCCTATAAGAAGGGAGTTATCAATTCTTTAATACTTTAGTTTTTCTGCGCAAAGTAGAAGGACTAGTGATAGGA